CAAGGAAAAATTTCTGCATTAACATCACAACTTCAAACTGATATTCGATTCAGAAATAATCTATTTCTAATGATACCATATAAAGCATCAACAAGAGATCGTATATTACAAGTAGCAACTTCTGTAGCGTCCCGACTAAAACATACCTGTTTAGAATTAAGTAGGCTTGTATGTTATAATGAAATTCTTGAAAAGGACTTATGTTCAACGGTAATGGAAGATAAAACATATTGGCAAAATCGAAGAAGTTATTTTACTCCTGGAGATAACATGGATGATAATTCTTCTTTTCTATTTACACAATCTGATTTTCCATCAAAAACTTTGGGTGTTCCTGAGTCATTTGGTCAATTATTTGTCAAGGAACCGATTAGTAGTAGTAATAAACTACTCGATCCAGCTGAAAGGGATGCTGAAAATAATTTACGATTAGCTACTATGACTTTATTACCTTGTAGTTCTACATCTTCTTTATCTTCAAGTTCAAGTACTAGTGGTTCCAGTAGATTGACTCTTTCAATTAATGGTGATAATGAAGAAGAGTATGATTTTCAAGGAAATGTTTCAGAGTATGAACTTGAGATATTTCCACAAAATGGTAATCGTAATGAAGATCGAGATGATATTAGTTTTAGGGATGATGCTAGTAGTATAATTATACTTGAAGACATTAGGGATCGATCATCTTTAGCGAATAGAAGTGAAGACGAAGAATACGAAGCTAGTGTGCATGACATTGGATCAGAACACCATGGAGAACGTTCAGATGGGAGGGAAGCACATGCGACAGAACATAATGAAATTCTAACATCGTCATCATTGGAAAATAAGAAAGTGAGCAAATCCGAAAATGAAACGCTAGTTGTTGGAAATGTTCCAAAGGCTCAATTTGAAGTTCCTCAAATTCAGCTAGATTTGAAACCTGAGAGTAGACTACCAATGAACTTAGGTTTAGGAATAACATCTAATGAAGTAACAGTACCTGTTCTTGTTATATCAGCTGTTGAAGAAGAATTTAAGGACGAAACGAATGATGGTAATGTTTCGGATGATAGTGGAGATCAATTTGTCGATGCTGAAGAATGGGGATCGTAATTTCACTTTAATGTTGGTTTTAATTTTAAGAATTAATAAGATTCTTTATAACATATAATATTCTTTGGTTTTAAGCCTAAAACAAGTTGAATAAATCATTCTTATTATTCATTAATTTGTATATTATTTCTTTTTTGTAAATTTGATTGTCATTTATATTATAGATTGGCTATTTAACAATTTTGCAATGTGTTAATTCATAGATTTATTAGAATTATTAAACTAATTAATTAATTTCACTTACACATTTTTTAAAAGGCAATTTCTATTTGAACACTAGTGTATAAAACACGGGTATATTGATATCCCAAAATCTTAATAATAAAGCAGCTTTTGGGGTTCTAACCAAACTTACTTCTTGCAAATTTTAGTATAAACTATGATCTTTTTAATCTTAAAGCTAACTTCAGATTAATTTTTGATTTATAATTTTATTTTATATAGATTTGTTAAATAAATTAATTAATATCCGTGTATAAACTTGTTGGCCAAATCTGAACAAATCCCAAACCTCTAAAAAATAATTGCTAATTATAAAAAATTAAATCAAACAAATAATTCTAAAATTTTATACATATATTTTTTATAGCTATAAGAATATACTTAATTTATTTAAATAATTATTAATAAAATTTTGAG